TATGGCTGACGCGGTAGCCTAAGGCCACCTGATGAAGGGCCTACATGAGGAAGGAGAAGACAAGGAAGAAGTTTTCAAAGCAGGGGCCTGCTTCATAGGATGTTGAGAGGATTAAATGAGGCCATTCATTCACTCACCAAATACTTGCCCCCCCACTGGCATATCCTCTGTAAAGCCATTTAGTGTTTAGGATCTAAGGACCTCATGCATCAGGAACACCTCACTCCATCCCCCTCCACGTCCTCTCTGATGCTTCAGGACACATGGGTCCCCTTAGGACAAGCGATTGGATGGAGCCTCACTACTTCAGCGGTAGGCATCCTCCAGCCTTTTTCTGTCCCAGACACCCAAATAGCACAAATACAGAGGCAGAGAAGATGATGTTTCTGGCTTTGACCAAAGGAGTTGTCACAGCTCTTTGCTTAATAAGGCCTTTAAATTATCTCAATAAAACAGAGGCTAAACATTTAACCACTGTGGAGAGGGTTTTATTGATTGGAGGAGAGGCTCTGGCCTGCCTGCCCGAGGCCGAGCGGGAGTGGAGCCAACCCCCTCCCAGGGGCAGCTGCAGGGTGTGAAGGAGCATCTTGGAGTGGAGCTCCGAAAGGCAGCTGGCACTGGGCCAAAGCGACCTCACTTGAGGGGCTGAGTTTGGGATTCATGGCTCACCTTGGCAACCGTATGGTTAGTGGAAAAATGATAAAAATAAAGCACAAAATATGTAGATTATAAATATAAATAAAATATTGTAAAATAAGTACATTTTTAAAGACCAAAGCCAGGAATGGATTTTAATCCCAGCTGTACCCAGCTAAGCAAATGTGGACAGTCCCCTCAGTGCCCTGGGCACTGCCCAGGTGACACTTCTGCACTTGGACAATGGGGGGAAGGATACACAGGGTTTTCGAGGTTTACTTGAGGTGAAGGTTGATCACCTTGTAAATTGTCAATCTCCCTATGAATAGAATGCGGATTCATTATTCCTTATTGTTATCAGATGGGAGCTTTGGTGGCATAGTCCGTAAGGATGCGCTATCCCCTCCCATGAGATTTGCAACCTCCTGAAAACCCACTGGAGGGTCAGCTATGAGTCAATCCTAAATCTACGGACATGAGGGAAATGTATCATAGGTGAGATTATGGTGGTTTCTGCTTCAGAACTTATCGATGGTTTCTGCTTGCTCCTGGACTAATAGAGAGCTAGTCTAGTGGTACCTAGGAGTAAGGAGCTGCACTACACAAGGTTCGGATCCACCAGCTGCCTCATGGGAGAGAGATGGACAGTCTCTTCCCCTGCAATTTACAGCCTCTAAAAACCTGCAGGTGAGTCAGCTGGGTGTTAGTTCCATCTGGATTGCAGATATCAGCAACAACAATGTGGGATAAACCTCCTCCTCTGGATTCTTTGTAGGGGGCTCTGGTGGCCTCGTCCAGAGGGATTTTTACTCCTAACCTAAAGGCTGCACCTTACTCTTTTCTGCTTCTCCATGGGAGAAAGACAGGCAGCCTCTTCCTGTTTGATTTACAGCCTCAGAAACACAGTGGAGGGCTCACTAGGTTGCTATTGTTGTTAGGTGTCATGAATTTGACTGTGACTCGTAGTTGTTATTGTTGTTAGGTTCCACTGAGATGAGTACAACCCATAATGATCCCATGAACAACAGATCTGAACCCTGTCCTGTTCTGTGCCTTCCTCTCCATCTCGGACACACCTGAATCCATTGCTGCTGTCACTCTATCTGGCTGAGTAGCTTCCTCTTTTGCTGATACCCTTTCCAAGCATGATGTCCCTCTCTAAAGAACAGCATTTCCTGGTAATGTTCCCAAAGTCTGTGAGACTGCCCTTTATCATCTTTGTCTCCAAAGGATGGCCATAGGTTCACCTTCTCTTGACAGTGCATAGGCTATTCAGTACTCTTTCCAAGCACCACAACCTAAAGGCATGAATCTTTCTGCTCAAAGGCATCAATAGGGATCCCAGAACACATGCAAAACCTACACCGAGACCAAAAGGTTATTGCACAAACAGAGCAAGGGAACACTACATGGTTTAAAAGAAGGAAGAGTATGTATCAAGGCTGTAACCTCCTCCATGCCTATTCAATCTGTATGCTGAACAAATTATTCAGGAAGCTGGACTCTATGAAGATAAATGTGTCATCTGAATCAGAGGAAGGCTCATCAACAATCTGCATTATGAAGATGACACACAGCCTTGCTCGCTGAAAATGAGGAGGACCTGAAACACTTACTGTAGAAAATCAAAGACCACAACCTTCAATGTAGATTGCATTTCAACGTCAGGGGGAAAAAAATTATGCCTAAGCCAATAGACAACATCATAACAGATGGTGAAAACATAAATATGGTCAACAATTTCATCTTAGTTGGATCCACAGTCAACACACTTGGTACAAGCAGTCAGGAGATCAGGAGATGTACTGGAGTGGTTAGGTATGCAGTCAGAGACCTCTCCTAATTCTTGAGGAGCAATGATGTCAGTTTGAGGACTAGGGTGTGCCTGATTCAGGCCATGGCCTTTTCAATCACTTGCTATGCATCTGCAATCTGGACAGTTAATAAGGATGACAGAAGAAGAACTGATGACTCATAGAGGCCCTGTGAACAACAGATTTAAACCTTGCCCCCTCCTGTGTCCTTCTCACCATCTCTGACATGGTCAAGCCCATTTTTACAGTCACTGTGTCAATCCATTTTGTGGAAGGTCTTCCTCTCTTTCTCTGACTCTCCACCGTTTTCATCATGATATATTCTTCCAAGGACTGATCCCTCCTGAAAATATGCCCAAGTATGTAAGGCAATTTCTCCATCCTTGCCCTGGTTGCACTACTTACAAGACATCCTTGTTTTATTGGGTTGTTTGTGTGTTTTTTTTTTAATCCATAGAATATTCATTACTCTTCTTCAACACTACAATTCAAACGCATTGATTCTTCTCCTGTCATCTTTATTCATTGTCCAACTTTCACATGCATAGGAAGCAGTTGAAAAGACCACGGCTTGGATCAGGCATACTTTAATCTTTAAACTGATAATTTTACTCTTCAGAACTTCGGAGAGTAGATGTTCCCAGTACAACATGTTTTTTATTTCTTGAGTGCCGTTACCCTGAGTATTAACTGTGGATCCAAGTAATATGAAATCCTTGACAACTTCAATCTTTTCTCCATCTATCATGATGTTTCCTATTAGTCCAGTAATAAAGATTTTTGTTTTCTTGATGTTGAGATGTAATCCATATTTAAGGCTGTAATCTTTGATCTTCTGTAGCAAGTGTTTCAAGTCACCTATGAATGAATGAGTGCCAGCTCGACAGCAATGAGCTTGGAGTTCTGTAGACCCTTGTAATCTGGCTCTTCAGCATGGACTGCGTCTCAATATCAAGAAAACAAAGATTCTTACCACTGAACCAATAGGCATTGTCATGATGGATGGAGAGGAGATTGAAACTGTCAGCATCTTGCTTGGATTCACAATTAACAGCCTTGGTACCAGCAGTCAGGAAATAAGGAGACATACTACACTGGAAAAATCTGCAGTTAGAGACCTCTCCAAATTATTGAGGAATAGTGATGTCAGTTTGAGGACTAAGGTGAGTCTGACTCAGGCCATGATCTTTCCAATTACTAGCTATGTATCCGATACCTGGACAATGAATAAGGATGACAGAAAAAGAATTTATGCCTTTGAGCTGTGATATTGAAGAGCACTGAACAACCCCTGGTTGGGGAAAAAACCCAAAAAACTAATAGATATGTGTTGGAGAGGGTGCAGCTGGAGTGTTCTTTGGAGGCAAGAATAATGAGGCTTCGCCTCACATACTTTGGACATGTTGCTAGGAGGTGCTGTTCCTTGGAGAAGGACATGATGTTGGGAAGGATGGAGGGTCCATCCTCAACCGGGTGGACTGACATGGTGACTGTTGCAGTGGGTTCTTGTGTGTCAGGAAGTGTGAGGATGGTGCAGAACAGGACTCAGTTCAGATCTTTTGTTCATAGGGTCGCTATGAGTCGTACTCGACTTGATGGCACTTAACAACAACAATCTGGCCCTGCCTACTTAGCCTCTTTTCTCTGACTTCCCCTCCCCCCCCCCACTTCACTGTGCTCTAGCTACCTTGCCCCTTTAGCAGTTCCTAGAACAGACTGAGAGAGCTCTGGTGGTCAACTGGGTAAGGCATTGCACTGCCAACCCAAAGGTATATGATTCATAGCTACCAGTCCCTCTGAAGGAGAGAGGTGAACAGTCTCCTCCTATGTAGTGTACAATCACTAGAAACCAGCTAGAGAGTCAGCTGTGAGTCAGCTCCTACTGGTTGCCTATGAGTTGTTGTTGAGTCCTACCTCAGGAGCTCTGTCCTTTCCATTCTCTCCCTCTCCTGCAATACTCTTCCTCAGGTATTTTGCATGGCCGGATCCTTGGTCTTCATGTCTCAGCTAAAATGCTGCCTCTTCAGAGAGTCCTTTCCTACCTATACACGCTTCCCAAGTTGTATCCAACTCATAGCAGCCCTATCGGATGAGCTCTAACAGCCCACCGAGGTTCCTACGCTGTAATCTTTATGGGGGCACACTGCCAGGTCTTTCTCCAGCAGAGTAACTAGTGAGTTTGTTAGCATCCCAAATGCCTTGACTGCTCTGCCACCACATCTCCTTCCGCTGAGCCCAGCATCTGTCTATTCGCTTGCTAGAAATAACTACTGCAAGTCACAATTCTGTTATGTATTCATTCGCTTGTTTGGTAGGATGTTGTCTTCGTAAGCATGAGTGCTTGTCTTTTGTTCACTTCTAGGTGATGTCACAGTCCCTGGCAGGTAGGTAGTCTGCATTAGAAACAATGGTTAAAAGAGCAAGTGACTGAGCCAGTTGATAGGTGAATGGTCGGTGGGAAAGCCTAGCTTGTTTCACAGATGGCCCCTCTTTTCCACGCACCCTGGTGCTCATTCTCCGTGTCTCTGTCTGTCTGTCTCTCTCTCTCAGATATGGAGACATGGTGCCCAAGACTATTGCAGGGAAGATCTTCGGCTCCATCTGCTCTCTGAGTGGCGTCCTGGTCATTGCGCTGCCAGTGCCTGTGATTGTTTCCAACTTCAGCCGGATCTACCACCAGAATCAGAGAGCTGACAAACGCAGGGCACAAAAGGTAAGGAAGGCTCAGAGAGGCAAGGCCAGAACCTTCCCCTCTGTGGCTGCCAGGAGGGAGCGGCTGCTCGGACAGCCTCCTCGGCTTTGCTTCAGGCCACTTCCTACTGCCCAGCGCCCTCTTTCCAACCCCAGCCAGTTGCAAAACACAGCAGGCTCTCAGCTTTTAGACATTCTGTGGCCATTTCCTTGGTTCCTGACTCCCCCTCCACACTCTCAGCCCCCTCCAATCAGCAGCCTCTTGGACTCCTCCCGCTCCCAGCCAACAGCTTGCTGGGGAACAAATTCTCTTTTTTAATATCCTACAATAGCCTCTACAAAGCTTAGCGGCAAAAAATAAATGTGTTGAAAAGAAAAATGAATACTATGAAAAGAAAACATTCTGCGGCCATCGAGTTCAGGGACAAACAGCACAGTGGGCTGGTGTAACCTCCAGGGTGTCACTGGGTTAAGGCTCAGAGCTGCAATTGATGATGGGAGAAGGACCATCAGCCCTGAGCAGAAGGCTCAATTTCGTCTGGTACACACTGCTTACGAAGGCAGGGAAGGGGGAAATTCATTCTGCCCACAAAATGAGGGTGAATGTCTGAAGGCCTTGGTGCTTAGAAAGAAGCCCCCTTTCCTGACTAGCTCTCAAGTCTCTGGAAGAGCTCATCACCTCCACCTCACCAGCTTGTCTTCACCCCACAGTTTTAAGGCGTCTGGCTGGTGAAGGTTCTTTTAAAAAACGAAACCAAACCCGTTGCCATTATGCCAATCCCAGCTCATGGCGACTCCCTGTGTTACAGAGTAGAACTACTCCTTAGGGTTTCTCAGCTGTGATCTTTAGGGCAGGGAGTTCTGGTGGCCTAGTGGTAAGAAGCTGCACTGCAATCCGAAGGGCACATGGTTCAAATCCACTAGCTGCTCCTCAGGAGGATAGGCAGTCTCCTCCTGTGCGTTTAACTGCCTCAGAAACCCTGCTGGAGGGTCTAGCTGTGGCTTGATTCTGACTTGATGCTTTTCTTGGATGTAATCTTTAGGACAGGGAGCTCTGGTGGCCTAATGGCCAGGAGCTGCACTGTAATCCTAAAGGCACATGGTTTGGATCCACCACCTGCTCTGAGGGAAAAGGATGGACAACCTTCTCTGTGTGATTTACTGCCTCCAAAAACTCACCAGAGGGTCAGCTATGAGTCAGTTCTGACTCAACGAACACAACAGCCACACTCTTTAGGGCAGCAAATTGCCAGGCCTTTTTCCCATGGTGCCTCTGTTGGATTCAGATCTCCTAGTAGTCCCGTGCAAACCACGTATGCCATACAGGGGCAGAGCGTGGCGATCTGTATATAATAACTTTGACTAAGGTTCCCCTTAGGAGAGGTTGTCCTGAAATAGGAAAGCTAGTCAGCAGGATTGGAACCCTTGATCTCTTCAGCCCAGTCTCCAGGGAGTGTGGTTAGAACCAAAATGGACCTGGAAGGGCTTTCTTGAAGCCTTACATAGATTTGAGCTTTGGCTCTTTATTTCATCCACTCATTCCACAATGTAATTGAGCTAATTCCTATGCATACCGGCAGGTGAAAGACCTGTTTTTCATTGTATTTGTTTAATAAGCCACTGTGACTTTAGTTTGGCTCCACAGTCAACACTCTTGGCATCAGCAGCCAGGAAATTAAAAGATATATTGCCCTGGGAAAGTCTGCTATCAGAGACCTCTCCAGAGTACAGAAGAGCAACAGTGTCAGTCTGGAGACTAAAATGTGCCTGATGCAGGCCATGGTCCTTGCAATCACTTATTATGCATCAGAGAGCTGGAAAATGTCTAGGGATGATAAAAAGAGAATTGATGCCTTTGAGCTATGGTGTTGGAGAAGAGTATTGAATATACATACCATGGACTGCTACGAGTAATGCAGGTAAATGTGTCAGAGACAGTGAGATTGGCATAGGATGGAGCAGAGTTTAGGGCTGTTGTCTACAGGGTCTCTATATACACAGACAACTCGATGGCACATAACAACAACATCCCACAAACACTCCCAGAGCACTTACTCTGTGTCAGACATGATGCGTTGCCAGTGAGTTATTCCCTGCCACAAAATCTGTCCCAAAGACCTACCGTTTACAATGATAACTCCCATGTAACATGCTTCCTCAACATGTCAAAGGAATTGAGAGCTTCAGAACAGGCCTATGTAGCTTACTGAAGCATGGAAATTAGTTCCAATATGAGTGGTGGCGGCGGTGGTGGTGGTGTTAGGTACCATTGAATTAACTGTAACTTCTAGTGAGCCTGTGTACAACAGCATGAACTACTGCCCAATCCTGTGCATCCTCACATCCTCTGCTGTACTTAAGCACGTTGTTGTTGTTGTTGTAGTCACTGTGACAATCCATCTCTGTGAGGGTCTTGCTGACCCTCTACTTTACCAAGCATGATGTCTTCCTCCAGGGACTAGACTGGCCTGATAACATTCCCCAAGTATGTGAGGCGAAGTCCCTTCTAAGGAGCTTTCTTGCTGCACTTCCTCCAAGACAGATTTGTTTGTTCTCTTGACAGTCATTTAGTGTGTTCCATATTCTTCACCAACACAACAATCCAAAAGCACCAGTTGATTTTTCTTCAGTCTTTCACTTTGACTATCCAACTTTCACAGACATCTGAGGCAAATGAATATTTAAGATGAGGCACCTTAGTCTTTAAAGTGACATCCTTGCTCTTTGGCATCTTTAAAGTGGTCCTGTGCAGCAGATTTTCCCAATTCAGGATGTCATTTGATTTCTTGCCTGCTACTACTGTGACTGTTGCTTGTGGATCCAAATAAGGTGAAATCTTTGACAACGTCAGTCTTTTCTCCTTTTATCATGATGTTGCTCATTAGCTGAAAGAATATTTTGTTTTCTTTATGTTGCTATGTAATCTATACCAAAGGCTGTATGTAGTCTTTCAACTTCAATGGTAAGTGCTTCTAGTCTTCATTTCCTGCAAGCAAGATTGTATCTAGGAATGAGAGAAGAAGAACTGAAGCCTTTGAGTTGTGGTGCTGGAGAAGAGTATTGAATATACCATGGGCAGTTAGGAAAACAAACAGGTTAGTGCTAGAGAGGATGAAACCAGGCTGCTCCTTGGATGCAAGAATTCTGAAGCTTTGTCTGACATATTTTAGGCTTGTTGCAGGGAGGGACTAATCCTTGGAGAGGGACATCATGCTTGGGAGGCTGGAGGGACAGTGCAACAGAAGAAGACCTTTGATGAGATGGATTTGATTCAGTGACTAGAGTGACACGGGTAGGTATATCAGAGACAATGAGACTGGCACAGGATAAAGCAGGGTTCAGGGCTGTTGTACATAGGGTCTCTATGAGTCACAGGTGACTCAACAGCACATAACAACAACAACAAAGGTTGTATCTTCTTCCACTCCTGATACTCAGTTCTTCTTCATGTAATCTAATCTTTTAGAATGAAAACATAAATAGCAACTCCAAAAAATGTATGAACAGAGAACTCCAGTTTACTCCAGCATAGCCCATTTTATCTGCCTTCATGTTCACCTCTTCTGTAATTTTCTGTCTCCTCCTGCTGAAATATCTTTTCACTTCTCTTTACCTGGGTCTGTAATGTCACCAGCCTGCCTTACGCTTTCTCTCTGTATTGTCCTTGCCATTGCTTACAGCACTTATATCCTAACTCTTCACTTAAGGTCAAGTTTTCCCTATCCCCATCTCCTGCCATCCAGAAATAGAAGTCTTACCTCTTATGCTGTCAGCTGGCAAATATAAACAATACCTAAATTCATTATCATTTGCTGTTGTTGTTGTTGTTGTTGTTGTTGTTGTTATATGCATCGAGTTGCCTATGTTCAACAGATCTGTTCTGAGCCAACCTTATTGTCTCGACACACCTACCCCCATTACCCTAGTCACTGAGTCAATCCATCTCATCCAGGCTCTTCCTCTCCTGCGCTGTTTCTCCTCCCTCCCAAGCATGATGTCCCTCTCCAAGGACTGGTCCCTCCTTGTAACATGTCCAGAGTATGTCAGATGGAGCTTCAGAATCCTTGCCTCCAAGGAGCAGCCTGGTCTCACCCTCCCTACGACAAGCCTGTTTGTTCTCCTAGCAGCCCATGGTATATTCGACACTCTTCTCCAGCACTGTCTCCTTCATCATTCATTCATCCTCATTCATCGGTTCTCCTTCTATCATCCCTAGTTATTGTCCAGCTTTGTTATCATATTTCAACAAACAGACGCTGCCCTAGACACACTCAACAAGTTGGCCAAGAAAGCTGGAGGATCACCACTTGGCCAACTGACTGGAAGAGATACATATTTGTTCCCATTCCAAAGAAATGTCATTTGACGAAGTGTGGAAATTATTGAAAAATGCCATTAATATCACATGCAAGCAAGATCCTGCTGAAAAGGATCCAAAAAAGACTGGAACAGCACATCAACAGAGAGCAGGCTGGGTTTAGAAGAGGCCATGGCACTAGGGATATTACGTTGTTGTTTTGTTGTTGTTGTTGTTGTTGTTGTTGTTGTTTGTCTTCGAGTCTCCTGCAACTCATAGCAACCCTATGTACCACACCCTAAACCCTGTTCTATCCTGTGCCAGTCACACTGACTCCAATACACCCACCCCAATTACCCCACTCACTGAATCAGTCCACCTCATAGAGGGTCTTCCCCTCCTGCGCCATCCCTCCATCCTCCCAAGCATGATGTCCCTCTCCAAGGACCTGTCTCTCCTTACAACATGACCAAAGTATGTCAGACAAAGCCTCAGAATCCTTGCCTCCAAGGAGCAGCGTGGTTTAACCCTCTCCAGGATGAATCTGTTTTCTTAGCAGTACATAGTACACTGAATACTCTTCTCCAGCACCACAGCTCAAAGGCATCAATTCTCCTTCTATCCTCCCTAGTCATTGTCCAACTTTCTGATGCATAATAAGTGGTTGCAAAGACCATGGCCTGTATCAGATGCACCTTAGTCTCCAGAGAGATATTATAGCTAAT